TGTATTTAAAACAAATTTTGGTATCAATTAAAAAAAATATTAGTAAAAATAATATATTTTAAAATATTATAAATTTTATATGAAAAGTAGTATTGATTTTATTGAAACTAAAATTCTCATTAAACTTAACTAATACAAATTTAAATGACAATTAAAAGTATAATTCCAAAATATATGTTGCTATATAAAATAAATTGCATTAAACACCCCCAACAACTCCCTAAAATATTGCATTGAAAAGATTTGACATACTTATTGAGATATGACAAATTTGTTTTTGCCCAATCAACAATTGACATGCTTATGCTGGTCTATGTCAAAGAAAACCATTGGAGCCTCTACCTAACATTTGGCATACCGGTTGGAGATGTTGTAATAATTTGTATACAAATAAGATTTTTTTGTTGATTTTCCAAACACACTTTTTAAAAAAAATATTTTTTGTTTAAGTTTTATTTTTGAATGATACTTGTCTTATGAAATATTTTTTATTAAGTACTTTTCTAAGAAGCATTTTTTGAATTTTCTATAAGTCATTCCAAGCTCTATATCATTTTTGCAATGGATTCAAAACCCAGCAATTGGTGATTTCTGTGACATGATTGGGTTCAATGATCTTATGAGATTTAAATCTGTGGGGTAAAACACATTCATATTTACCATGTCCTTTCCATATTTTTGTTTATCTATAATATGTCAAAAAAATAGTCAGAATGAATTTATCAATCTAATTTGCTAACCTAACCATTCAATGTCATTGGATTAATAATAATTGAATCCCAATATTTTTTAGGACCATGGTTACCAATCCAATGGTTGTTTTCGATTAGGTTTAAATAATATTATTGTTATTATTTAGTCTGTTTTCATATGAGGTGTTCTTCCTAATATTGGACCTCTCATTTGTGGGCTTAGCATTACTGGTGTACATGTCAGAAACTTTTGCAACAAGTTTATTTCAAAATCTGGAGTGGGCTCAAGAAGATGAAAAAACACCAGTTTCTTGGTAGTACAAATTTGTTGATCATATTGTCTAAATTGAGAGAGGATGACCCATCTAAACTTGGTAGCCTTTTCTGCCAGTCTATTCCACTCTAAAGCCTTGTTTTTCCTCTCCCTCCATAAATTAATGGCTCCAAAAAAAAATATATTTTTTAACAACAAATTAATATTGTCGCTAAAAAACACCTCTTTTAAGTCGGTTATTAAATAAAAAACATTATTTGATTCGCAACGACTAAGTTTATCACCAAAAAATAAGTGCTTATTCTTGTACTTGTAAATATCTAGATACTAGCGGCGGCCCTCTACGATGCACGGAATATGCACATATCTCCTTCCCTCTCTGTCATCCTTCTCCTTTCTTTTCTTTTTCCTGTTGTCATAATATTATTTGATAGGTTAGATAGAAAATTATGAAAAATTAGTGTGATAAAATAATTATGAAAAGTTAGGGTGATAAAATTTTAAAATTTTTTTGTAGTAGTTAAATAGTGGGGGCAAAGAAATAGTTATATGAGATACGTGTTAGAATATAATTGGCTGAAATCATATGTAATAATTAAATAATTAAAAATTTTAAGAAAAAAGAAAAGTGACAGGGATGATTTTTCAAGTCTAATAATTTTTGAATAAATTTTAAAAAACAGCGTTTGGTTATTGGGGACAGTTGAGAGGTGGTTACAAATGACAAATGATAGTATTTCATTTGCACCCACCAAGCCACCAAAAAAAAAAAAGTCACTTGCTAGTGTTTAAGTACTGCACGGTTGTTTTAAATGAAACACCTCAAGCAATTTAGTGCAGCTAACAATAAATGGCATGCAATAGAGAAAATAAATCACCTTATAAGGTTTCTGCGAGTTATTAGGCGATAATACTTTGTCGAACATAAAAGAATGTGTTTGCCCTTATAAAAATAAAAAATGACAGTCAAATTCAAACTCAAAGCATGATTCAGACAAAATCTTCCAGCGAGACATCAGACGTGAATAATTTATTGAACGTAGAGGAATGTGTTTGCCTTTATAAAGACAAAAAAAAAAAAAATGACACAAAGTCAAATTCAAGCTCAAAGCACAATTCAAACAATATGTATATTTTGAATACATTTCCTTGGGTACATTTGTTAAAATACTACCATTTTGCTATTTATATTCTGTTCTCACCTCCAATGTGGACAAATCAGAGACTTAACAAGGAAAAAAAAGAAAGAAAAAAGAATAATAGTAAATTCTGCAGTTGATAATGTTGAAAGATAAGCTAAACAAACTGCAGCTTCAAAATCACGTGACCCCAAATCCATATAACTAAATGTTTCATCTCACTAAATTCAAAAGGCTTGTCCATGTTACCTGCAATTTCTTCTCTGCAATAGTAAGGTGTTCCTGCAGTCTTCTTATATGGTTACTTTGATGTAAACATCATAGATGGGAACAAAGACGGTTGCAAAGTCATAGGTAAAACAAGGAAGCATGTTTAAATTTGAATAAATTAACACTGCTAACTTCACTCAAAAATAGAACCCCTTTTGATTACAAAACAAATTAGAAATCAGTCAGTTCGTCATCGGATTTCCATTCCATTGGAGGGAACTGCTTGCATGGATTCAATTGATCGGAAGCGGCAGTTATACATACAGACATAGTTTTCACTAGGGGTTTTTACCGAGTTGGTTGAAGCAACCAAAAGAGCATCAGGTATAGGAAGGATTTCTTACAGGAGCACATGAAACAACCTATATCAAGGATGGTAGCTGACTAACACTCACAAGAAGGCACTGCTGAGATGAGTTCCTTTATTTACTAGTTAAGAGATTCTCCAGAGAGTTATTACTAAAGATTCAATCAAGAAAAAATCTCCTAATCACAAAAAGTTGTACAATCTCAATGAAAGTGTTTCTTAGCCACTCGTCTGCTGTTAATGCAGGACCAACGACGGATTAAAGGTTTAAGAAAAAAGATATTTGTTCAGCATTTTTAGACATTTGTCATTCATTCTAAGATTTGGTTTCCTAATAAAAGTTCAACCATTCAAATGCAAATCTGAAGTGTCATATTGTAACACTTTTAATATATTGAAAGTGCAATTTAAAAAATTTAATCATTAAGAGTGCAAAAGTGAGAATATTAAAAATTTTCAGAGTGTAAAATACTATATTCTCTTTGCTCGACGAGTAACTAATTGTGACAAAGTAATAGACAGAGGATAATGTTAGAGAGAAATAAGAAAGTTTTAGAGTTCTGGAAACACATCTCATTCATATGCCCCGTTTGTGAACACTGTTAGACATTTAAATGATTTAGATTAATTGTATTTTTTATGAAGAAGTGAATCGGTATAGTTGCAACTCTTCGTGGGTTGTAATGAATCAGTTTCTTTCTACGAAAGAGCGTATTTTAAAGAATGAATGTCTTTTACACATATTCTTATGAATAAGTGTCTTTTCATGTATTTGTGTTTTGTTATGAAAGCGTCTTTATGAAAATGTATCTTTTAATGAAAATATATTTTTTCATAAAATGGTGTCTTTACACCTCTTCATTATCTATAAATAGGAATGCATTCATTCTTTTTCGTTTACACTAAAAACATTTCTATTCGTCCTTCTCCCAAAACTCTTTTGCTTTCTTGTGGCATTATTGTTCTTTCATTTTGAAAGTTCGGGCTATGCTCAGGTTGTGCAAATCATTCGAATAATAACAGGTAAATCTAGGGACAATTTTCCTTCTAGTCCTTTTTGCACCCGCAATACTTATTGGAATAGTGGCTAATTCATCTTAAAGATATCAGATATATTCGTGTCTTGGATTCTAGATTTCATTTTTGTCTCAATTATTTGACATACAACTTTCAACAATTGTAAAGTGAATTTACTGCACCAATGGAGCCATCGGCTACTACTATTCAAGTAATGAATCAAGACTTGTTGCATCTCGATCGTTTTGATGGGCAATTTTTTATGCAATGACAGCAAAAGGCTTTGTTCTTCCTAACAACTTTAAAACTTGCATACATTCTGAAAGATGATATTCCACCAATCCCGGATGAAGAAAAAGACGGTTCGATGACATAAAGTAACAAGAGAAGAAACGGAATGAAGATGATTTTTTGTGCAAGGGATATATTAATACTTTGTCCACTTCTCTCTACAATACTTATCGACTAAGGAACTCTGGGTGCATTTGGAAAACAAGTACAAAATCGAGGAAGTCAGTGCCATACGTTTTTAATTGACAATTATGCTTATTTTTGTATGATAGATGAGAAATTTGTCCTTTCCCAAGTGGAAGAATTACAACTCTTAAAAACTGATACATCTACTGGGGGAATTAAAGTGGATGAGGAATTACAAGTCGGAGTTGTCATTGCAAAGTGGTCTCCTTCTTGGAATGACTATAAAAAGAAGCTTAAATATCGAGAGATGAAATTTGCTTTAGAGGATCTATTGCATCATCTTCGTATAGAAGAAGAATCTTGAAATCCAGATTGAAACAATAAAAAGATAGATCATATCTCTAGAGCAAATATGGTTGAAGAGGAGTCTAGTGACAAACTTAAGGAATATGGTAGTCTTACCTAAGAATGATAAAAGCTTCAAGAGAGGGAAAAGACACACTGATGAACCAAAGAAGAGCAATTATTTCTTTTGCCATAAGCCCAGTCATATTATAAGAAATTTTCGACTACACAAGAAGTCCCTCAAATTTCAAGTGAGTGTGTGAATGCACCGATTTTTCAACGGTTGTGACTGAAGCAAATCTTGTTGATTCCAATGAAGGGTAGTGGCTAGACTCTGAGGCCACAATTCATGTCTTATATTTATATGCTATACACTTTATATATGTGACATAATAGATTAGGACATGTGAATTATCAATCTATTAAGCACAAGAATAATCTAGTGTTGATTCAAAAGTTTAACCATTTAAACAGTGGAGTTTGAGACAGTGACATGAAAGCATTTTTGATGAAACTATTCCAGAATGTTTTGAAAAAAACTAGTTTTTTGGTAGTACAAATTTGCTGATCATATCGTCTAAATTGAGACAGGATGACCCATCTAAACTTGTAGCCTTTTCTGCTAGCCTCTTCCACTCTAAAGCCTTGTTTTTCATTCTCTTGCCATGCTCTCCCTCCATTAACTGTCTTACAAGCATCTCCACTTCATCTCTCTTGACATCATTATCAATCTCCATGCCAATCTCCCATTTAGTGCACATGTACCTACAATTTGTCTGTTGATCAGCAAAAAATGGCCAGCAAATCATGGGCACTCCGGCGGACAAGCGCTCAATAGTTGAATTCTACCCACCATGGGTTAAGAAACCCCCAACGGATGGGTGGGTAAGGACTTGCTCTTGTGGGCACCAGCTCGTTATAAAGCCTCTTTCTGTAGTTACATCCATGAATTCAGGGGGCAGGATTGCTGAATCACAATCACCCACGACCAAACCTGGCCTAATTATCCACAGGAAGTAGTGGTTGCTATTAGCAAGTCCCCAGGCAAACTCCACTAGTAATGGCGGTGACATGACTGTTAGGCTACCGAAATTCACATAAACTACAGAGTTGGTTTCCTTGGAGTTGAGCCATTGCAAACACTTTAAATCTTCTTTCCACAGACTGTATCCAATGGAATTCAGACCATTTTCTTTGGCTATTTGATTCAGAAGTAATTGCAGAGGGCAATGGTATAAACATGGGAAAACATAAAAGAGAGAGCATCTACAAGTTCTGGCTCTAATGCATCAAAAGTTTGAACAATAATAGCTGAAGCTTTGCAAGAACTTTGTGTAGCTTCTATGACGGTGTTAAATATTGGTTCATTCCGATCAATTGTTCGTATAAAGGTAGGAAAATCTTTCAGACGAATACTTTTCATGCCTGGAATCCAATCTATAATGGTATCCAAGTACCCATTAGTCAGATAGCTTGCATCTGCATGCACATAACAATGGTTACATTAATTACACTGCAAGAAATGGGAATTTTAATGTATTGTCACTTTTGAATTTTAGCGACACACTTATAGCGGTGACAGATTAAAATTTCGCCACTAAACATGTTTTGTGATTATTTTATAACTATTAGTGGCGATTTTTCGCTCCACTAAAGGCTCTGTTTATTAGTATCATAAACTTTTTTTTCAACAAATTGTTTCATGTACCTTTAAGAGGTGTAAAGTCTTTTTCAAGAGATTGTGAAATTGATAAAACCCCATGAAACCACTTGCAGAGAGTGTCCAGAACTGTACGATGGGGACACCAAGTTCTTCAGCAGCGTCTATGGCGAATGTCATAAAACCATCAGAGACGATGCTAGTCACTCGAGGGATGTTCAGAAATGTGCTATCATTAAGTTTTGAGAGGAGATCAACAAATGGAGCCAAACAATATTTCCTCACTGACAGACAAAGAGAAGGGATATCTTGGGCAGTGTCAATGTCTGATGGAGGATGGCCGTCGGGGATGCTTTCAAATCTGAAATCCGGTAGACCATTTAGAGAATTAGGTCATCCAGATTTGAGGAATCGTTTGTGGTTGAACTCCGTGTTGACAAAAGTCACATGACAACCTTTATGGTGGAGTAGCTTTGCTAGTTTCAGCATTGCTTTTATATGGCTTTGAACTGGGTATGGTATACAAACTGCATGAGGCTTACCATCAGTAGCCATTGAATCTGTGTGTGTGCGTGTGATCACTTCAATGCAAACTCTCTTGGGGGATATGGCAAAGGGTGAAACCTTTTTATTGACTTGCTTCAATTAAAATAATGTACTAAATAATGACCTATCTTTCAACACAAAAGACTATAAAAATCAGACACAAAAATGGCCAATAAAAAAGACACATGACATGAGCACTATCCTCTCTTTTTTCTGTCGTATTCGGATCGGATTGTTTCGATTTTTTTATTAACTATTAGTTAATCTTAATTTAATTTTTCTACTGAATTGTGTTAGATTATTTTATATTAATCCAATATTTTTCTTAATCGGGTCTAGTTCAGATCAACACGTAAAACTTGTAAATTATACTAAAATCCCACTCAATCCTAATATTAGCAAATCCAAGTGAAAATATACTCCAAGTCTAGAAGAATTAATTGCGATAACTTATCAAGACATTGGAAAAGTAAAATAAAATAAAACGTTTTGAATAAAATGTTATGATTAATAGGTTGTCATGTCAAAGTCGAATTATTCACATTTGAGATTAAACTTATTTTCTATTGATGTTGTTGAATCGTGTTATTTTGAATTCGCATAAAAAATTCATAAATTGTTACCCGTTAATTTTGTGATGGGGTCGTATCATGTTGCAAATTACCACCGCTACCAAATCAGACAAAATTTAAGATTAAGAAGGTCCTCCAAATCCAATTGATTAAGAATTAATATGCAATGATTGTTTCCATTTCATTGGAGTATAGCAAATTCAAGAAAAAGACATGCATAATAATAATAATAATAATAATAATAATAGAGCTCGGTTTAAAGGTCATCATGTTGCATGCTGTCTATAGTTTATGTTTATTTGTGTACCTTCATTTCATAAGATACGTGCGTTCGACAATTTGTCATAATCATCTAATCTAATGCACGTATCATTAACCTAAAAGAACGGCCCAATGACTTGACTAAACTACTTATATAATGAGGTCATCGTTAGAGGCATTCCACATGCTCCAACATAAATTAATAACAATAAGTAACAATGATATTCGAAGTAATAGAATAAAAATCATGCCGCATATTTCACGAAATTCGACTTTATTTTTTCTCCATTAGTTTCGTTTTTACGAATGGTGGAATCTTCGATCCTCCATATTTTAGATTCTTATTATTGGAAAATATATGCCCTTAAACTTCCATCCCTCCCTCATTCGTCTTTAATATTATGAAAAATTATTATTAACTTTTAAATTTTAAATGAGCAATTACAAATATTACAGTAGTGAGAATGAGCTTATAGTAAATTTTTTTTTTTTACAGGGTGTCTAAAAGTGATTCGATTTTGATATATTGAAATTGCAATGTGGGAAATTTAATCATCGAGAATGCAAAAGTGAGAATATTAAAAATTTTCAGGGTGTAAAGTATTTATTTTCTTGGGTTAATTGTAAATTGCAACCCGAAAGATTGTTCAAATTTTAATTTGTACCCTAAAAGATATAAAGTTGTATTAATGTGCAACTCCAAAGATCAAAATTCTCAATTTGTACCTTAAAAGATAAAAATTTATATTAATGTGCACTTAAAACTAACTGCTGTCAATTTGTTGCCTAAAACTAAATTGATAAATTATACCTAGATCCCCTCATGCTTGTCAATTAATCATTTGGACTCCTTCACAAAATAAAGAGAAATATGAAATTATAATTTTTTATTAGGATAAAATCATATTTTTTTAACGGTTATAAAATCCTAATAAAAATGCTCTCAATCTAAAATGTACCTCCAATTAAGCATTCAAATAATTATGTTTAAGTAATATATTACATTGGATATAAAAAATATTATATAAATATCTATATTCTATTGGACATTCAAATGATAAGCTTGATTTTGAACTTTAGAGTATATCGGATCCATAAAATAAAGGGTAATATGAAATTATAAATTTTTATTAGGATAAAATCATATTTTTTAATGATTATATTAATAGATATCAACGAAAAGGGGTTACGTGTTATACTTGCACAAACGTCGTGAGATGTATGAGTAATATTCTAAATGTGGAGGGATCCAAATGATTAAGTGATAAGTATGAGAAAATCTAGGTATAATTTATCAATTTAATTTTAGGCATTAAACTGACGGCGATAAGTTTTAGGTGCACATTAATACAAATTTTTATCTTTAAGAGTACAAATTAAAATTTTTGATCTTTGAGGGTGCACATTAATACAAATTTTTATCTTTGAGTGTGCAAATTAAAATTTTTGATCTTTAGGAGTACAAATTGATATTCGAACGATCTTTTAAGGTACAATTTACAATTAACCCTATTTTCTTTGACGCTAGACTAGGTGAACGGGTAACTAATTGTTACAAAGTAATCGACAAAGGAAAATGTTAGAGAGGAATAAATAAGTTTCAGAGTTTAGGAAACACATCTCACCGTTTGTGAGCACTATTAGACAATTAAATAATATAGATTAAGTTGTATTTTTTGTGAAGAAGTGAATTGGTATAACTTTAACTCTTTATGTATTGTAATATATGTCTTTTTATGGAAGAGTGTATTTTAATGAATGAATGTCTTTTACATATTTTTTTACGAAAAAGTGTCTTTTCATGTATGTGTCTTGTTATGAAAGTGTGTCTTTAGGAAAATGTATTTTTTCATGAAATAAGGTCTTTTAGTAAAAGAGTGTCTTTGCTCCTCTTCATTTTCTATAAATAGATGTGCATTCATTCTTTTTCATTTACACCAAAAACATTTCTATTCTTTCTTTTCCCAAAATTCTCTTGCTTTCTTATGGCATTATTCTTCTTTCATTCTGAAAGTTCGGGCTATTCTTAGGTTGTGCGAATCCTTTGAATAGTAACAGGTAAATCTAGGTCTATTGTATCCTAAGGACAGTTTTCCTTCTAGTCATCTTTGCACTTGTAATACTTATTGGAATGACGGCAAATCCATCTTAAAGATAGCAGATATATTCGTGTCTTGAATTCTAGATTTCATCTGTGTCTCAATTATTTGACATACATCTTTCAACAATTTTAAGATGAATTTACTACATCATTGGAGACTTCGGCTACTACTATTCAATCTATTCAAGTAATGAATCAAGGCTTGGTGCGTCTGGATCATTTTGATGGGCTATTCTTCATGCAATGAAAACAAAAGGAGTTGTTCTTCGTAACAACTTCAAAACTTGCATACATTCTGAAAAATGAAATACCACCAATCAAGGACGAAGCCAAGAATTTATACATGGTGGGGGGGACTACCTATAAGTTTAATACCTAAAATTTCATAGACAAAAGAGTCAAAAAACCGATATACATAGGGTACAAAAAAAAACTACAAAATAAGGTTCTAATTAGACCCTTTTACAAAAAATGAGACTAACTATAGTCTTTTACAATTGACCACGACGTGATTTCATATTTTGAAAGCATTGCATGATAATATTATTATCAATGCAATCAAAAATGTCCTTCTCTATGTATACAATCAAGTTATTTGTCATCCATTGATCGCCCATTCGATTATGCAATCGATTCTTCACAATCTTCATAGTCGAAAATGCTCTCTCTACTGTGACAGTCGCAACTGGTAAGATCAATGTCAATTTCACAAGTAAGTAGACCAATGTATATACCACGTGTTTTTTTGTCTCAACCATTTTCTGAGCAAGATCTCCAATCCCTAACAAATTTGAAAACTCAATACTAAAGCGCATATCAATAATATAACTATCCAGCTAATCAGAAAATATCATGAGCTCTAGTGAAGAAAAATTCTTTTGGATAAAATTGGGTAAGACGAACCAATTTTTCTTTGTCAAAAGCTAAAAAGGA